GGCTGCCAAGGTCCCCACCTCCCCACCCGGCCTCAGGCCGCTGTGTAGGATGGAGATTGAGGCGTGTTGGTAAAAAAAAAAAAAACAAACCCCGAAAATTGCAGGAGTTTGCATTTACCGAGCTCCCACTCAGCGTGAGGACGACCTCAGCACTTTGTGTCCTGCAGCCCCACCAGAGCCACTATGAGGAAGCTGCTAGCGTGATGCCCATCTTGGAGCTGAAGAAACTGAGGCCCAGGGGGGCCTGTCGCTGACAGACGTGTGATGTGTGCAGGACACGAATGCGGGGCTGTCTGGGCTGCCCTCTGCCCCCCACCCCCAGACCGATGCCTGTGAAGAAGGCACCACGTGCCTCGGAGGGTGAGCCCAAAGGAGCCCTGCCAAGCCGAGAGCGCGGGCCAGTCGGGGTCAGCCGACGTGACAAGGTCTGCAGGCCCCAAGTCCCCCGCGCTTCCTCTTTTGTTTGTTGCGTCGATGTTTTCTTTCAAGGTTCCCCAAGCCTCCAGTTTGGGTGGAGGTGGGAGGGGGGGCGCTGCACACTCCCCCCCGCCCCCGCAGCCTGCCTTTGAGGTGAAGGGCAACCCCCAGCTTGAGTTCACAGACACCCTGAGTTCCTTGGGTCTCCACGAAGATCCCTCCACACCCCCAATCCCGGGCTTCTGGAATGGGCTCATTCGTGTGTTTGTTCCCTCACTCAGCACACATGGACTGAGTGTCCTCCCTGTGCCAGGCGCTGGGGACACGGTGGGGAACAACGCAGACAGCGGCCTAACCTCTTGGAGCAGGCCTCGGGCCGGGAGATGGCCAGTCCCTAGAGAAGCAAACGGAGGTGGAGAGCAGGACTGGGCAGGGACACTAGCTATTGAGGGATGTTAGAGACCAGATGGTGCCTCTGAGATGCAGCTGGGGATGGTGGGGTCCTAGCCTGGCTGCTTGCTGAGGGAAAGAGCCCAGGCTCTGGAGATGGCCAGGAGAGGCCGGGAAGGCGGGTGCTGGTTCTGTTCCCAGTTGGGTGGGGAGGAGGAGGATGCTGTAAGTGGAAGAACCCTCTCTCGGCTGAGCAGCTGAAGCCCAGAGCGGGTACAGGGCTGCCTCCCACGCCTGGGTCCGGGAATGACACCCAGGAGTCCCAGGACCCTCGGCTGGCTCTGAAGGTGGTTCCCAGACCCAAGAGTGACAGGCTGTGGGATTTCATGTGCTCAGGGCTCTGTCCTGCTCAGTACCTCCACCTGCATGAGTCTCCAAGGGCTGCCGCAGCCAATGACCACAGACTGGGTGGCTTAAGACAACAGAAATGTATTCTCTCATGGTTCTGGAGGCGAGAAGTCCAAAGTCAAGGTGTCAGGAGGGCTCTGAATGCGCAAAGAAGGGAGAATCTGTTTCACACGTGCCTTTCTCTTAGCTTCTCGTGCCACCAGCAATCATGGTGCACGTTGGCCTGCAGATGCATGTCTTCAGCCTCTGCTCTGTTGTCACGTGTGTGTACATCTTCGAGTGGGCTTCTTGTAAGGACAACAGTTATTGTATTAGGCCCCATACTAATCCAATATGACTTTCTCTTAAATTGATTATATCATAAAAAACCCTACCTCCAAATAAGGTCAGGTTCATGGGTCCCAGGGGTTAGGACTTGAACATATTTGGGGGGAGACACAATTCAACCACAAGTGTTCACCCAGGCATGGTCTCAGACAAGGATCCGTGTTTCCAGACTAGAGGTGTGAGTCTGGGCTTTCCCCCTAAGACTTCAGCTTCATTCTCACTTCACCTAACCTTCTCTGCGGTCCCAGCCACCCAGCCCTCAAAGTGGGGAGACACTTCCTTAAAGACTGTGGGGAGAATAAATGAGATCATGGATTGGTCATCATTTACGGCCCTCCGTGGCCTTGGGGAAGCAACCCTGAGCCTCAGTGCCCTCCCTCTTAAAAGTGGGCTAATAGTACCGACAAATGACAAAGACTTTTGAGGTTAAATCATCTAATATATGTAAGGTCACCTAGTCAAGGACCTGGCCTCAAACAAATGAACGTCATCCTTATTAGCGGTGTGTGAGGATCCACCACATAAAAGTGCCCAGCACTCAAAAACTGTTGGATAAATGGTGGCTCTGAGCCTTTTTTTGTTTTAAGATTTTATTTATTTATTTGAGAGAGAATGAGAGAGAGAGAGAGAGAGCATGAGAGGGGGGAGGGTCAGAGGGAGAAGCAGACTCCCTGCCGAGCAGGGAGCCCGACGCGGGACTCGATCCCAGGACTCCAGGATCATGACCTGGGCCGAAGGCAGTCGCTTAACTAACTGAGCCACCCAGGTGCCCGGCTCTGAGCCTTTGCATCCTGTTCTCTCTGCTGTTCCCCGTCCTCCAATGGCTCTGGCTCTCACCAGTTCCCACAGGCCTTCCCTGACTCTAAAGAACACCCATCACCGTCTGCTCCTCTTTGCTTCCTTCTCACCGCCCTAGAAAAATCACCTAAATATAAACATAATATTCACCATTCACTCATTCATTCCTGTCTCTCCGCTCCTGAAGTGTAAGCCCCTGGGTGGTGGTGGGGGGGGGTGTATGCTTGTTTCCTACCTGCAGTATCCTGGGGCCTGGAACCTGGCCTGACACCTGACGGACCGTTCAAAAGGATCTGTTGGGTGAATAGCTGATTCCCAAGTAGAAATGGGGGCACGTGGGCAAGTGGCGCCACCCGCCGGGAGAGGTCGGGGATGCAGAAGCCTACGGGGCCACAGGATGAACGAGTGAAGGAACCCCTGCGCAGGCATCCGCGCGTTAAGGCGCACACGGCCCCCGCCGGAGGCGGCCCCCGCTTCCGGGCCGGGCAGGAGCGCGAGGTGCACGCAGCCAGCCCGCCCAGCCGGGGTGGACAGACGCCCCTCCCGAGCCCCGCGCCTTCCGCGCCTGCGTCCCCGCCCTGTGCGGCCGCCCCCGGCTGGGGAAGCCCGGGCCCCCGCGGCGCCAGCACGTGCTCCGCAGACGCCCGCCGCCCGGCGTGCAGCCGCGCTCCAGGCCGGCGCTCCAGGCCGGCGCTCCTCCCGCGCCGGGGCTTCGCCGGGTGGGGCTCGGGGCGCGGGGTGGGCGCGGCCGGGCGCGGGCGGCTCTGGGACTTGTAGGCGGAGAGCCTCGGCGGCCGGCGCCCCGGGCAAAGGCACCGCCCACCCCGCCCAAGTTCGTGCTGGCCCGGGTTGGGGCAGCCTCCGAGAGGCCCCGTCTGCCACGGAGGGGGAAATTGAGGCCCAGCTTGTCCAAGATCACGCGGCCGGCTGATGGCCGCCTTCCCTGGCCTCTAGGAAACAAGTCTAGGGCACACTTTAATCACATTTTAATCCAAGTTTCCAAAGGGCTCTCTGAGGGCCCGTTGTCTGGCGGAGAGCTCTCCTCACCTCCGTTTCATCGTGCATTCACTCAACAAACATTTCCCGAGGGCCCTCTGCTGGCCAGGTCTTACAGCCTGAGCAAAACATCCAAGGTCTCACCTAGCAGAAGAGGGAGGCCGTACACGCACACGTGAACTGAACGGGGCTTCTGGGGGGAGAAGTACTTTGGGAAGGAAATAAATAAGCAGGATAAAGGGCAAGCAATGAGGCAAAGGCCTGGAAGGAGGCAGGAGTGTGGCTGCGCTGTTGGAGGAACATGAGGAATAGGACTGAGGTGGGACAGGGAACTGTGTCCCTAGGAGGCCTGCTGAAGACTGGGGGCTCCCCTCCTAGCGTCGGGGTGGGGGCGCTAGGGCACAGATTTGAGGGAAGGAAGGAGAGCAGGGTCAGGGGTCCAGGGACTTGAGACAGTCCGTCTGGGCCTGGAGTCAAACGCAGCCGAGACAGAGAAGGTGCTGGATAAACCCCTGAAAGACTAGGGAACATGGCTGGCCGTGCCCCTCCCAGTCCCGCAGACCCCGGCCTGTGTCCCGCTGTCCCCGACGAGGCGATAGGCTCGGCCCGAAGTGACCCCACTTAGAGCGGCAGTTCTCAAGTGTGTGCACAGCTGTGCCCGGACGCGCCAAGGGTTCGAGGCCCCACAGCGGCGTTCTGCACTGCACGGAGGTGCGACCCACCGGTGGGGAATGCTGGTGCCGGGGCCAGCTTCACGGGCCCCGAGCTCAGAAACACCCCGCGCTCGGTTTAATGCTCTCCTGTTTGATGTGAAATTCCTAGCAACTTTGAACAAGTTCCGTAGCCAGTCCTGCCTGGTGTGGAGCTCACGGGGGCCCTGACATGGCCTGTTTCTGTGGCTGGGGACAGGGACAGAGGGACCGGACCGCCCTCAGCTTGCGTTTCCCCCGGGGTCGCCCACACAGAGGGAGGAATCCCTGATCCGGGGGTGGGGGTGGGGATGGACTTTTGACGAGGCCAGAACAACGCCCCCTGCCTCGCCACCTCCTCCGGGAAGCCTCTGGGACCACTCTGGACCCTCCTGGATCGCAGATCCCGGGTTTATATCCCTGCCGGTTGTACACCGTATTTTTAACGTTGACCCGCCTTATTCATAGAACTCCGTGTATGTTCTGTGCATCCATGCAGCCCCCATCCTGGAGTGCCTGTCGCATGAGGGGCCCTGAAAAGGATTCGTCGAATGAATCATATTTATATATAAAACAAAAATCATTTCACCTTTTAATACATGTGGCTGTATCTTACCTCGCCCTGAGATAAATGCTGGCTCAATAAACGTGATGCTCACCCTCGGGCTTCCCCCTAATTCACTAGACCGTGCGCTCCACGAGGGCAGGGGGCTGGAATCCGGCGGGCACGCAGAGGGCCCCCGGGACCGCGGTACCCGCCTGCCGCGCGCCCGTCCCTGTTGTCTCCAGGGTGAGAGCCCCGCCCCGCCCCGCCCCAGGGCTTCCCCGGCCCACGGGGCGCGGCGGGGCGGGGCCAGGACTACGCTTCCCGGCGGCCCCTGCGCGCCCGTGGCGGGGCGGGGCCGCGGCTGAGGGCGGGGCCGCGGCGGGCTGGGGGCGGGGCCGCTTACAAAGCCCGGGGGCGGGCGCCGGGGCGCAGAGTGCCCGCAGCGCCGGCCCGAGCGCAGCGCAGCGCAGCGAGGCGCGCAGAGCGCGAGCAGCCCGCGAGTGGACGGGCCCGGCGGCTGGACCGGCGCCGCTGCTGCCCTGCTCGCTCCCCGCCGCCGCCCATGAGCGCTGCGCGGCGCGGCCCGGGTCTGTAGGCGGCGGGGCGCCCCCCCCATGCTGCTGCAGCCCGCGCCGTGCGCCCCGAGCGCGGGCTTCCCGCGGCCCCCGGCCGCCCCCGGCGCCATGCACGGCTCGCAGAAGGACACCACGTTCACCAAGATCTTCGTGGGCGGCCTGCCCTACCACACCACCGACGCCTCGCTCAGGAAGTACTTCGAGGGCTTCGGGGACATCGAGGAGGCCGTGGTCATCACCGACCGCCAGACGGGCAAGTCCCGCGGCTACGGCTTCGTAAGTGGCCCCGCGGCCGGGCGCACACCCCGCCCCGCACTTATCGCGCCGGGGGCGCTGAGTCAACCGGCGGGCGCACGCCCAGCCGCCCCGGCACCTGCCGCCCCCTCCTGGGCTCGGGGGCGGGGGTTCACGCTCCAGCCGGTCGGGCCGCCGCTACCCGGCCCCGGCTCCCTGCCCCCACCCCCACCCCGCTCCCGGTTTAAAAGGGAGAACCGCTGAGTTCAATTAGCACTTCTGAGTTTGCAGAGAGGTTTTGGGGACAGTCGGCTGCGGCCAGGACTTCCTGGAGCAACAAGCAAGCAGGAGCGGAGGCTTCACCTCAGGGCGCTTTGGAGGCCTTTGGCACCCCGTCTCCTCCAGTATCTTACAAGAGCTCCCTTAACCACCCCAAATAAACATCAGTTTAAGTGAAAAGCGGCTTGAAGAATTGTCTCCTACTTCCTTTCTAACTAGCGTTCCCCAGCCCCTCCCATGAGGAAATTCGCACCCCCCACTGGCTGGCAGGCAGGACCGGCTGGGGCCCCTGCCTTGCTTGAGGCGGGGGAGGGTGCCTTGTCTCCCCTGGGGATCTTTTCTGTCCTTGAAGGCTAGGTTTCCCAGCACAGGAACTTGGAAGGAGGAGCTGAAATCCAGGGGCACCTCTGTGGGAGGGCCCCGGGGTGGGAGGTCGGTGGGGACTGGGCCAGAGGCTCTGGGTCACTGGCCCCGGTGGAGGGGGACGTGAGGGCCCCTGGCCAGAGCAGAGCCCTCTGCTTCTCCCACCCAGTAAGGGAAGCCCCTGATGCGTCTGTGCTCCTCCAGGTTACTATGGCCGACCGGGCGGCAGCTGAGAGAGCTTGCAAAGACCCTAATCCCAACATCGACGGCCGCAAGGCCAACGTGAACCTGGCATATCTGGGCGCCAAGCCGAGGAGCCTCCAGACGGGTGAGAGAGCCCGTGTTTTCCTTCCCCGGCTCGTCTTGATTGCTATATTCAGTGTTGGTATCCGTGGGGTGGAAACGGCCCCCCCCGCCCCGGCCCTGCCCCAGGAGTGGCCGTCAGCTATCATGTGCCTGCAGAGCCGTCACAGGGCCGTCCTTCCCTAGCTTGGGAGCTGGACCCCTTGGTCTAGGCACATGTACCCGTGGGGCAGGGTGAGGAGGGCGCATCACCCAGTCGTCAGCTGTCTTGGCGGCAAGGGGCAGTCAGCTCCCGGGCTGGAGATTGGGAGGGCGGGCACCCAGGGGCTGCTGCAGCCCCGCTCCCTTGGCTTTGCTTCGGCAAGGCGCGTTCGGGTTGGAGGGACGGCGGCCTGGGAGTGCAGAGGAAGCCCGTTATCTGTGTCTTTTGGTGGGGGTCGGGGTGGGTGGGTCCTCCTTGGGATGAGGCCGAGCCCCTAACTGCTGTCGCATTTTAGGCTTTGCCATCGGCGTGCAGCAGCTGCACCCCACCTTGATCCAGCGGACTTATGGGTGAGTGGATGTGGCTGCTGGGGGCAGGGTTCGGGGCTGGGTCGGGGGGGCGGCAAACCAGCCGGAGCAGGCCCCTTGGTCCAAAGGAGTCTTTCACCCCAGGGCCCCACAGCATTGGTTATGCTGTTCACATCCACCTTTCCTTGTCTGACGACCATCACTTTCTCTGGTCTTCCAGAAACGTGATGGCGTCCCGAGGGTGGGGAGGGCGGAGTAAGCCGGGAGAACTGAGAGAAGGCAGAGAACACTTCTGCACCCCCGACAGAGGCCATGGCGCGTGGGCATGGGAGCCTGCCAGTCTGGTCTCAAATCCTGGCTTCCCCCTTACTAGGTGTGTGAGCTCTGGTGGTCTACACGGCCATCTGTGCCTCAGTTTCCTCCCCTGGGACACGGGGATGGTCCTGTGGGTGGAGAGCTCCGGATGGGCCTGCTGGGGGCACGTGAGCGCTCCCACAAGCTGTGGGACTGGCGGCTGGGCTCTTCTCAGGGGGCCTGGTGACCCGCCCTGGTGCCTGACAGATGGTGGCAGCAGGTCCCTGCCACCCAGGGTCTGGTGTGTAGGAGAGCTGCGGCAGGGGAGACCGGACCGGGGCCAGCTGTCCAGCCCGAGTGGGCCCGGCCTGTGGGCCTTTTGTGCGACGTGCTTTGGTGCGGCCCGTTCCACCCTCCCCTCCCCTCCCCACTTTTTTTTTTAACTTCTAATAAGTCTTGGCAGCTGCTTGCGGAAGGACGCACGCTTTAGGGGCACAAAGGATCCCGCCATGCGGTGTGACTTCCCAGCCCCATGGTCGATGTCGGCTGTGCGCCCCAGTGCCGGGAGCAGGTTGACGGGGCTGGCGAGGGCCCTTACCAGACAGGCGGCCCCTTGTGGGACGTTAGCACTGCGTAAGCTGTCAGAGACCAGATCCCGGGCTTGGGTTTTGTGCTTCGAGTTGTGTGAGCATGTGTGCGCCTCTGCCCTAGAAAGAGGCCCAGCTCCCTAGTAGGGGTGGGAGCGAGGCTCGGGTGGACTGCGAGGGTCAAACAGATGGCCGAGGAGTTGCTTCACGCCTCCGATTTGGGGGTGATTTGGGGGTGCTTGCCCAGACAGGCAGCGTCTGTGTCTGTCTGGTGGCCTTGGCGTGGATCGGCGTGTGTGGGAGCTCAGCTCTTGGTCTGTTCTCCGGGGAGGGAGCCCGGGGGCGGCTGGGAGCAGGTGGTTCTGGGTTTCCTTCTCGCCCTGGGATCTGCTTCGTCAGTGTCTGGAGCCGTCTTGGAAGGTATCTGGGGACAGCTGCCATCACCCTAGGTCCTTCCTTTTTGGGGTTCGGGTCACACAGGGAGGGCGTTTCTCATTTTCCGTAGCCTTGGCTCTGTTCCCCACGTCCATCCCAGGCGGCTGGGACCGGGGCCGGAGCGGGGGCCAGCTGCACAAAGCTCAGGGCACGAGCCTGGGGCACCTGCAGCTCTGTCCTCCTTCAAATGCAGCAGTGCCTTCCCCTCCCAAGTTCAAGCTCTTTTCTGATCCAGTGTAGCTGCCTCTAAGGCTCCAGTAACTGTCAGGACTCAGCCTCTGGAGCCTGCAGACCTGGGTGCGAATCCCGGCTCTGGCACGGTCCAGCTGGGCCCATTTGGCAGGTAACCTCTTCTTCCTGAGCATCCAGGTGTCTCGTCTGTTGTTTCCCGATGGAAATGCTAACCGCTTCCCACAGTGCCAGCCCCCTAGGGCTGGGGCCTCCGCGCCCCTGTGTGTGCCCCCCCACCGGTTCCCTCCTGTCCTCACAACAGCTCTCTGAGGTCAGAACCGATGTTATCCTCACTTCCTAGATGAGGAAACTGAGGCAAACAGAGGTTCACAGTCTGCCAGGGTGACCTGACTGATGCAATCTGAAACCAGGGTGGCTGGCTCCGAACCCACACTCCACCGCCACTCTCTGGGGTGGGCAGGTGGGCAGGGTGCCCCAGCCTTTCCCCTCAGGGCCCCTTGGGTGCCACCCACACGAGGGTAGTGGGGGGTCAACACAGACTTTACTGCTGTGCGTTCCTGACTTCAGGTGACAGTGTTTTGTAACTGAATCTCTGGCTGGCATCTAATACCCGTGACGATGAAGAGGCCGCCAGGTCTATTTGTTGGTTGCCAAGGGGCGGAGACCCAAACAGGGACAAGGGGTCAGAGGGACCGTCCAGCTCGTTTCCAGCGGCCAGTGGACCGAAGCCTCTCAGGGTCATGCCGCCTCCCACCAGGCCTTGCTGGGCTCCAGGGTGGCGGGAGGGGCCCCTGGAGGTGCTGCCCCCCGGAGAGGCGGGGCGGGGCTGCCCGGGGTCAGCTGCCCCCCCCCCCCCCCCCCCCCGCCACCGCCCAGTGCTCCTCAGTTGGGAGAGTTGGGCCGTCAGCGTCCCTTTTGTCTTTTGTCTTTGCGAATGAGAACAATCGGGCAGGAGCGCGGCTGGTCTGACTCAGCAGTCGGCGCTGTGAGCTGCGGGCTGGCAGCGAGGCCTGGCCTGCCCCTGGCCAGGGCACGGTGGGAGCCGGGCAGCTCGGGCTTTTGAAACCAGTTAACCCCTCTCCTGCCAGGCTGAACTTCCCGCAGGCTTCCTGGCTCCGATCCTGTGCCTTGGACGGTTGCAGAGATTCCACAGCCCGGCTTCTGGGCAAGGCCACGGCAGAAGCCTCGCCTGCTGGGCCGTAAACTTATGAGCGCGGAAGATTCTCTTGAGAACTTTTTACATGTTAGGCTTTTGGCTCGGATTCCCCTGCCCTCCGTTTTTCAAAGTGGAATGGGGTCTTTCAGGACCTAACTGGTGCTCTGTGTCCTGTAACTGTACGTGGGGCCAAGGCCTGAGGTTTGGAGGGTCCTTCTTTGACAGGTGACAAGTGATTTAATCACAGGAGGAAGCGACTAGGCCACAGGCCATCCAGCTGAGCGTCTTTTGGCTGCCTGGGAGGGATAGTCCACAGCCTGCAGGCAGGAGAGTTCACAGCCGTTGGGGAGGGCACATGTCGGGGCAGAGCTTTGGGTCTGCCCTGGAAGGGACCTCCTCGTGTTAAAGGGTGTGTGTCCGGGCCTGGGCCCAGGGCCTGCCAGGATTGGAGGTTTGTCCTGGGCCTGCCTGTACTTAGAGCCTCTCCTTGGGTTATTTTTGAAGGGCCAGCTGCTTCTCTGGGCACAGCCCCCGCCCCCATTCTCCCGTTCTTAAGGGGGCCTTGCTGTGGCCTGCATGCCAGTCCACCACGAGCCCCGCTCTGTGCCGGGGGGCGGGGGGAGCAGGCCCCAGGTCCCAGACAGCGGGGTTGCCATGTGCTGGAGCAAGGATCCCAGGGTCTGCCCCGGCTCATCTCCCCGTCCGTGTGGCGGGGCCCAGGACGCTACTGCCACACAGGAAGACTTGGGACTCGTCAGGGACCCATCTCGCGGCAGCGCCCTGACAAGGCCTGTGGGCCCAGCTGCTTATGGAGGAGATGGGTGAGGAGAGACTTGCCTGAGCTCACGCTGCGTGGGGCTGGGTGGTTCCAATGCCTGCCTTCCTCCCACGAAGCCCCTGTACCTCCCTCTGACCGGCTCTTAGACAAATCAGAACCAGACACCCCAGGACTGACGGCCTGATGCCACAGAATCCTCTTCAGGCGGTTTGTGCCCTGTACTTTCAGGGGCTCCATCCCCCCCGTGAGGCCCCCACTGCCCTCGCCATCACTAGGCCACAGGCGTGTGCACGCTGAGGGGTCTGAGCCCAGTCCCTGGGTCACCAGGGTGGGAGGGGACCTGGGGAGGGACAGGAAGACGTCCATGTCCCCAGAAGTGTGGAGCACACAGGGCTCAGAGTCCTTCATTCATTCGTCAAGGCTTTGATGTGCTGGATGCCAGGCCCTGGGCCCAGGATACTTTACAGAAGAAAGACACGGTTGGTTCCCCACCTCAGGGTGCTTGCTTTCCCGCAGGGAAGCCAGACCATTAAAAACTCTTTCTGTGCATGTGAAGGTCCTGAGGTGGTGGTGGGTGGGGTGACGGGGCGGCCGGCCAGGGGGACTTCCTCGTGGGGAACGGTTCTGTGTGGTGCTTGTCATGGTGGGCGGGCCATCTGTGCTGTGATGGAGTGCCCTAGAAGGACACACCAAGAAATGCCAACATCTGACCAGGGCCTCCAGCCTGGCTAAGAGCCGCGAGCCGGCATCAGGCTCCTGCTTTTGGTAACGCGCTGGGTGGTGTAGACGTCACCACCCGGGGGGGGGGGCACTGGAGGAGGGCACACAGGATTTCCCTGCAACTTCTTGGGGTTCTACCATTATTTCATAATCCAAAGTAAATAAAGGCCCGGGGCGCGGAGGTGAATGGCAGAGCCCTGGGGGGGGGGGGTTGGAGGGGAGGGTCCGCATCTTGGGGGGCGTGGCAGGAAGTGAGGTCAGAGCCTGAGGCCGTGGGGGCTGGGAGGAAGCTGGTGCCCGCTGTGGTGTCACCTGGCTTGTTTTTACTTTCAGGGTGCCTGGGATGGCCCTGCTCCCCACACCGTGGCTTCCTGTTTGGCACCCACCGAAGCGAGGCGTGGGCCGGCGCGTGGCCCTCCCCCGTGGGCCGCCCGTGCACACCTGTTGTTTGTCCGCGGCGGCTGTAACAGAAACCAGCCCCCGGGCGGCTCTGGGGTTCCTCTGGAGGATGAGCTCCTTGCTCCGGCCCACTGCCCTGGCAGGAAGGGCCTTCTGCTGAGGCCTGGGGAGCCCCGTCCAGAAGCCTCGGGCCAAGGCATGGCGGCCGGAGCACAGACAGGCTGCCTGGTGTCCGAAGCACCGTGTGGGTGCCTTGGGGCGGGGGTGGGGGGGCAGGGGAGGGGTTCCCGGGCTTCCTGCTGCAGGGACAGCTGAGGAGGCTGGAGGCCCTTTACACGATTCCTGTGTGCGATGCCTCGTGGCCGTGGCTTTTCCTCTTGGAGTCTCAGCTTCCCCGCCTTCTGTGTGGACAGGATGGGGGCTCCGCAGGGTCGTGGGGGGACATCTGCCTTCATGCTCCCGACCCCTCCCATGTGGGTGG